GTGCCGCCCAGAGCCGCAGAGTCGGGCTCCCGGCCTGGCCACGGTGCCCACAGAAGCCCGTGCAGCCCTGACCCGCCACACGTGGGCACCGCGCTCCGGGAGAGGACGCCTCACCGCTTCTGCTTCATCTTCTTGATCCCAATTCCTGTCCGTCAGTTCCTTCTCGGCAATTCTTTTCGCCATTTTTCCAAACCTGTGAGAAACACAGAGGTCAGCCGCAGAGAAGCTAGAAGCCGTAACTGACGCCAAGTGTCAAGAACCCGCCGCCGTGGGAGCTGCATCCTGGTGCGGGCCTGTGGGCTGGTGCCGCACGGCGCCCTCGGGCCCAGGGCGCGGGAGGGAGGCCGAACGCGGCTCCCCCAGGGCTGTGCGCAGTCCCACACTCTCGGCCCGCCCTGAGCACGACGCTCGGCCTTGCGCTGACACATCAGCCGGGCGTCACCAGGCGTCAAGACGGCGCCCGGAAAGCTCGGACGCAGCAGGCACTGAGAACACGGCCCGAGCGCCCTCAGGCCACGGCGCCCGGCGTCTTCCTCCGGAACCGCTAACTGCCCCAAAGCCGGACACTGCAAAGCGGGGGCATCAGGAGTCCGGAGTAGGGTCACTCTGGCAGGGCCCACGTTCTGCGGCGCGAAAGCCCGACTCCCAGGGGCCGCTGCGGAAGTGGGTGCTGGGCACTGCCCAACACACTTCACTCCCCGCCAGGCAGAAACCCAGCACCGCCCAGAGGGCACCGCCGTCTGCGGGCTTCCCTCCGGGCCTGGAGGTCGGGCGGACCAGGAGACGCCGTCTCGGGGACAGTGGGGCGCCCGCCCCGCTCCGGACCAGCCACGCCCCTGCTGTGGCATCCCCCTCGCTGCGCCCCACACTGTACCGCACTGCGGCCTCAGGACTGTCGCGCGCCAGCTAAGACTGGCTGGGGTTAGTTAAGTCGGGGGGTCTCGCTACCATCCTGGCTGTCCCTCAATGTCCTTCCGTGGCTCCGCGGGCCGCCCGGTTGGAAAGCAAATGGCGTCAGAGTCCAGCACTCTCAACAAAGCTCCCGAGCCACGGGCTGGCTCGCCGTCCTGGGTCTGCCTCAGCGCCACCCGGACACTGGCCGTGTTCGCTACTGACTGACCGCCACGGCAAGAGCGTCCCTGTGGACAGCTCCCAGGAGCCAGCTGGGCTCAGGGCAGCAGGAGGGGGCCCCTTCCCCCGCAGGTCTGGGCAGAGGCAAGCACCAGCCCCATCTGCCCTGACCCAGAACCGCCCCCCACCAGGTGCCGCCAGCGCCTGACCATGCCCAGCTCCCCGACAGGGCTCTAGTGCCCACGACACCAGGTGCGCCGACCCTACAAAAGTGGCAGAACCCCATTTGGCTACTTTCTTGCTGCAGACCTGCTCATGTAGCTTTGTGCCTTAGTTTCGCTCTGGAGGCCGGGAGGGTGACCTGGAAGTTAAGCCCGAGGCAAAGGGCTTAGTTTAGGGGCAACACGGTGCGCTGTCCAGTGGGACGCGCCATTTCCACCAAAGCCGCCACGGGGGTGGAAAAGTTCCCCTGGACCTGGCCGCCGCGCGAGCGCTGGCGAGCCCACGCCCGCCCGCGTGCGCGACCCGGGGGCAGTAACTGCGCCCTGGCAGAGGGGAAGCGCCCAGGCCCCGCAGGCC